GTAATAGTAGTAGCCTCTCTTATAGTAATAGTGACGTCCTCGCCTTTATCCGTAGTAATAGCGGTAGCGTCGTCTTTACCCGTAGTAATAGCGGTGGCGTTAAAGTCTTCCGACTTAAGATCTAATACGTCTACGGCTATACCTTTTAACGGCAGCCTATTCGCGGTCTCCTTAGATTAAGTGATACGGATAGATTATAGGCGTTCCCCGATTTCCTCGGCGGAAGCCGTGGCTTATAGCGTTTTAATCCTGCCGTTAAATATCTTATCTTCGTTAAAGACTATATCTTTCGTAGCGATAATATCCGTTAGGTATAATAGCTAAATACAGAAGCTATTTAAGGATTAGTATCCGACGTAATAACCGATCTATACCTTCGGTTCTAGCCTCTATAGACGGTTTCTTTTAGCTTAGGCATCGCGCGTTTTTATAAAGGCTTTATAGCCGTATACTCGTAGATATATATGGTTAGGTTAACGGCCGTGTAGGCCTTTATATAGCGTTCGCTAGTCGTTAATATATCGTGGTATTCTATTATATAGATATATAGTAGTCTTAAAGATCTGAGGCTAGATAGATATAGGCAGATTAGCTTTAATCCTTATAGCCCTCGCCCTTCTCTTAACGATACCTTTAATCCGTTCTATAATACCGTTCTAATCCTATAAATATAGTGCCGACGGCTGGCCTTCTACCCCCTTAGTAGCGAGGAAAGTAACGACTTCTAGGTACTAAAATATCTTAGAATCGGCTCGTAGAACGCGTGGCCTAACGTCGAATTAGGTCTTAAGTAGGGTAAAAACGTCCTTTAGAGCGTGTAGGATAGAGCCTTAGTCTCTTTTCTATAGGTAGTAATCCTATATATAACCTGTATACACGTCTATAACGAATATAATAGACTTATATAGTCCACCCGCTAATTACTCCGCCTTTTCTAGATCGTGAAAATTAATAGCTAGGGATAGGCGTAGCTAGTGTTCCGAGATAATATTAATAACGAATTCCTTATAGTATACGACGTTATAGAGGCGTAGTAGCCTTTTCGTGCCCGATAGGGATTATATATATAGCTTAACGTCTCCGTATCCGAGGATAGGAGCCTTATAAGTACCCACCTAAAGCGTTAATAAATTAACCGTGGGTAGTCTAACGGCCGTAAAAC